TATGTAATACAAGTTGACCAGTATCTGTGTGTGTGTTCTCATATTCTAGTTTGGGAATCTCCTAACCCATTTTACCAAAAGTTTTTGATTACATCTGACTGTAAGGGATATATCTATTTCACTGTTCATACAGGTTTAGTTTTAGGTTTTTATGTCAGCCTTTTCCTTGGACTCTTAAAAAAAAGGTTTAGTGCATGTATGGATAGCACCACCTGTTTAGTACAACAATCAACTTCTGGATCTCAATATTCAAAAAATAATGAAATATTGAACTGCTAACCAAACTTCAAGATAACCAACAACAAATTTTTCTCTTATATACATTAAAACATATTACAATTATATATCACACAAGCTTCAATGTAGAATAATCACTGGTATGGTTAAAGTTGCTTTCACAGGGAAGAAACAGAAATATACATGCAAAAAAAAAAGATAAAATAAAAATTTCACATTAATCTATACCATATTTCTTTACATAATAGCATCACACAATATATGACAAAAATTAAGCAATGCTTTAATCAAATATAGAAAACTAAATAAACGTGAACATTTGTCATTATTTTTTTTAACATTCAGTGATTTAAGAGAAATTTTGTGATTCTGAAAAACGTAAGCAATAAATCCTGGTACAGTGTTTTCTCACTATTAAAACCAATTAAATTATTGTGCTCAACAATTTTGGAGAACATTGGATTTTATCAGTTATATTAATCATAGTTTTCTTACATTTATTCTAAAACAACTTTAATTTCAATTATATCTATATTCCTAAGTAGACAACTAATTATTTTTACCTTTTAAAAATAAACACAAAAACACAGTTATTAACTATTAATATAACAGGCCATTGTCATTTAAATTCAAAAACAAAATAAAATAGCCAAAAACTTTCCTTTTATGAAAGGATACATTAAATGCTCAAATTAAAAGATATTATACAGCTTAAAAAGAAATTTATACAATGACTTATACACAAGAGTTTGGATGAATGAATGAATTCAAGATACTTGGCTCTGAAATGTGATATACGGAAAAAATTCACTGGCATAGGAAACATAAATCATGAGATCAATATTAATATTTTACATGAACAGTAAACCTACATATCTTCATCTTCACCGATGGTTATTTCCTGGGCAGCAATGCTGGGCCATCATAACCAGATAGTTATCGTCTCCAATTGGAGCTTGTCTAAACAAGTCAAGTAATTCAATGCATTTAAAAAGGTCATACTAAACATTTTATTCAAAGCTGGAATTCAATACAGATGTCTTAATAATTATGTATGATTTTACTGAAGTAAAGCTTTATTTCAAGCTAATTTTTTTGTAAAAATTGTAAGTCCTATCCCAAACAGTATATTTTATTTAAAGCTAGAATTCAATAGAGATGCCTTAACAACTATGTATGATTTTACTGAAGTAAAGCTTTATTTCAAGCTAATGTTTTGTAAAAAATCCTACTCCAATCAATTTAGAGTAATAAACAGTTATTGTTAACAAAGAATACTAAAAAAAAAATCTTAGTTTCAAAATTTTAACTTACAAAATTCATTTCAAATACGTTTATCTGAGAAAGTAAAAATGTCTGAAAGTTTTAAAAAAATGTTTCCCGAGTACAACTAGTATCAATATTGATACCAAAAGGAGATATATGATCGTAATTACATAAAGACTAAGCATTTAAATTACACTTAAATCTTACTTTATGAAGGTCTATAAAATCAAATGTACACAAATGAACTGTTTAATAGATTCCAGAGATGTGCAAGAGAACCAAAATCAATTATTCTATAAAGTAGTTTATCTCATTAACAAACTCTAATGTAACTATTCAACACATGTATTTTCAGCAATTTCAGAAATAAAATATATTTTTCTTACTCTGATCCATATTGTGTTTCACGATACATGTTACTCAGGTGCTGCTTATGGTCTTGTTCTAAAGTAATGACACAACTCTTCACAGCTTTCAGAGTTTTCCACAGAGACTGAATGTCTTCAATAACAAACCCTGGTGGGAGAGTCATACCCTGTTCTCCTGTGTAGACAGCCTGTTGCTCACAGGATTCTGTGAAGTGCAAATTATTTAATGTATAACCTGTTGTTAAGAATTTTATGAAGAGCAAAGTATTTAACTCTTATGTGTACAGGTGGGGGTCAAGGTGCACAAGCCATGACCTTTTACAAAGTGACATTCAATATAGTATGTAATTGATGTCAGATTCATCTTATCCTACATTGCTGATCTAGCAACATTTCATGGTAGAGGAGAGTAAATACTAGATATAATATACAGGGACTTGCAAAAAAAACAGTTATACATTTCGGAGGTTTCTAATATGCAAACTACATGACAGACAAAATATACTTATTCTTCACATGACTATCACCTTGCACACTGACATGACAGAGTCTGAGTCATGACTGACATCATCAATTCACAGACATATCTTGAGTACAAATAATTTTATAACATGTATGTCTTTTGTTTGTTTTTTACAACAGGCTTATACATTTTACTAAAAGCTTGACATATTTCATGAAGATAGTAAATCTGGACTTCTAGTCAGTATTTCTTCTCTAATATGGGTTTGAACCAATGTACTGAGCCCATACACATTGGGTTACTAGATAGCTTATTGTTTACATGATTCTATGAAGGATACAGTATTTAATACTTTTATTGTTTATATGATTCTATCATGAACAAAGAATTAAAGATACATCTTGTTCACAGAATTCTATGAAAAATAGAATATTTAATACAGTTTACAAAATGTGGGTCACACCCCATTGGACAAAAATAATCTCTTGCGGGAGGGGCATGAGTAATTGGGCTCTTGAAATATAGTACAATAATGCAAAATTAAGTGTGTTAATGTATTATTTATTAATGAAAATACTAATTAATTACTAGAACACATAAAGCATTTTATCCATGTGTATCCATGTATTGCATCTTGTCACTTAACTTTCTCTAACTCATTTAAAAAAAAGAGAGGCATGCAAAGAAACCATATTTATTAAAGGGGGGTATCGATGACAAAAGCTTGGGAAATGTGATTTACATGATTCTATCAAAAACAAGTAATTAAATATACATTCTGTTGTTCACACAAGTTTATGAAGAATACAGTATTTAATAGACAAAATCATAGCAGCATGCTTACTACTAGAAAGAAACTATATAAACTAGACAGTATATAAAAAGTTATTCAAATAAGCTTTCTAGAATATTCTTAGGACAAGTTACACATAAAGAAACATAAATATAAATCTTCTCCAACAGTCTTTAAAGCAACTATGTATATTTAGAAGGCTACTTTAACACCAAGATTGCCTTGCTCACTTAATCTCTCTATGGTAACTGCACAAAATGTTTATATGAAAACATGTAGTTTTTACAGTATATTTGATATAAACAATGCAAAACAACCAACCAATCAAATTTTCCAGAATATTCATGTGGTTGAAAAAAATTGTATGTATTCTTTCCACTTCTCTGTCTGAGTCGATGTGAACTCGGATGTTTGCCGAAACACTAGCAGTAACAGGATGACACCCTGGAGCACTTTCACTGGATGCCTTACAGCTGCAAATAGTCCAAAAAAAAAACTTTTTAAATGAAATAGCTCACATTGAAAACAATAAGTGCTGTTATAAAGAATTATTTTATTTTTATTTTTGCTGATTCAAATAGCTATGCATAATTTTGAAATATCCGTTTAGAGATGAGAACATGAATATACAGGTTTGTTCGTAGATTTCGCAGTTCACTCTTGTTACCTTCAACAGTTAATTTCTGAATGAGGAAGCTAGGAAAGTGTCTTCAAAAAATGTTTTTCTATTATTGAATGAAGTATGCTAAGCAAGTTTGATCTTTAAAGATTCTTTATGCTCTAGACTTGATTTATATTTTTGATGAAGTAGCCAGCATAAGTACAGTCAAATGTAAAAAACTAAAAATACTGTAATTCACACTTAACTGTTTAAATTAATTGTTTTTGCTCAGAAGAGGAACCAAAGCTTCTGTGTGTTCTATGTAATGGAGTCTGGCCAATGATGGCATAAAATTCAATAAATGTCAGTAATACTTACAAAAACAAACACCTTAAATTTTGCAGTTTTTCTAAAAATTTTAAAAACTTCAGTGACAAAAATAGCCATACACAAACATGCAGCTGGCAATCAAAAAACTAGAGTAATTATTAAAATACAGTCTCACTGCAAATTGTCAGAACCAGGAAACCTCACACAACTGTAGTCTTTTACTTCAGCAGCAAAATAAATGTTAAATTATGGTTAGCAAAAATGTTACTAACCAGTTTAACTACCTTCCACTATCAAAATTACACAGTAAGCCACGTTCCATTTTATGACAACCTAGGATACCAGTTTAACTACCTTCCACTATCAAAATTACACAGTAAGCCATGTTCCATTTTATAACAACCTATGATATTGAAAAACATTCATGTCTCTCAAACTGGGTTTAGAATGAACTCAAGTTTAAAGTCAAAATTCCAGAATAACACCTATTTGATTTAGGAATGCAAAGAAAAAGACACATTGTAAAAAAAAAAGTTTTACATATGAAACAAAAATAACAATAAATATTCAAATATTTTTATCTTTGAGTGCTGTGATTGTATTTATAACATACTTGTTTTGTCTGTTACATACACAGAGCATCCTTCTAAGTATTTATGCCCATTTACATTAAGGATATCATACACTAAAATTTTTTCAACAGAGAGTTCAGCAAAAGAATTGCAAGCTGACTTATCATACTTCAAGATTAATCTTAACCAACCTAGTGGATGCAAAAAAAAAACAAAAACTAGTAGCACAAAATATTTACAATCAATTTTGTTAGGTACAACATAACACTATAAAAACATCATTATCACGTGCCATTTCGAGAAGGGTAATAAAAAATAATGCAAATTTAAATTGGGATATCTACGTTCCTGAAACACTAAAGTAACAGATTTTTCAGCAGTAACAGAACTTTAAATGATAAAACCAAGATGGCAAAGTTCTACATATGATAAAATAATAAGTTACCATTAATATACATATGTCACTATATAAGCTACCACCTCATTACCATTATAGAAAAATTACATCATATATAAATTAAATTCCTCTTTATCAAATTAACTATTTCAAGCTATTATTAAAACCACTTGTTAAGTCTAACTGCAGAAAGATATGACAGCTTAAAAAATATTGGTAATGTTTTCTGCATAATATCTGGAATTTATTCTATTTTTTAAAAATACATAAAACAATTCCTACCAGAGCCAATGGCCATTGAGAAAAGCTGCAGGGTGGAACTCTCTTAGTCTGTTTTTGTTACTTTGACAAACTTTTGTCAATATATCAATCCATTCTTTCTCTTCAACACAGTTGCGGGCTTGAATGTACAAAGCTCTTTCAGGTTGGATTACTTGAAACATCTGAAGGAATTAATGAACAAGTTAGAAATTTATTACTTACTACAGTTACGAGCAAAGTAACTGTTTTTTAAACACATTACTGTTTCCAAAATTTAAACTATAAGTTGAATTATAATTTTAATTAAAAGGTAACAACTATCTTATTAGTTTACAAAATGTTGCTTTAGCAAAATTGAAAAATAAAATATTTAATTCCTATTTTTTCACAATTTTTGTTTCAAGGGGTAGAAACTACCAGTTCTAAGACAGCTAAGCTAAAAGTATATATATAACAAACAAAGGCATGAATAAAAAATACATTTGAAAAGAGCATTAAAAAATGCTAATATTTTCTTTACCTGAAAATGTATTTCTGATACTCACCTCCATGCACATATTATCTATTTTCCTTTTGACGTTGCGCTATTCTGCCTTAGAGCCTTGCATGTCACCAGCCTTGTGAAACTCCCACCTAAAATTCACGTGAAACATGTGAATTTGCGCTACTGCATTATGATGTAGTATCATGTGGCAAAACCATCCACCTATAGGAGTGTGACATACCTTCTTGCGCAAATGCTCCTTCTACATTCATGTGCAAATTCTTTGATGAGGCAAACAAGAAAAGTGCACTGAGAAGTGGGGAGGAAGGGTGGGAACATACACAGAGATAAGTATCTAACAGAAATACATTTTCAGGTAAGGAAAATGTTAACTTCCGATACAATGACTCATCTCCCATGTTGAGATGGTGGAGGGACCAGTGCAGAAATTACCTAGATGAGCTACTTTTCAAGAGTGCCAAAAGGAAGCCCATAGAGTACAACACCCTATGGCATGGGCTCCATAAGGGCATACCTGTTGAATCAAAGTATACATGGGAAGAAGTAATGAACTAGATGTAAATATTATATTTATGTGAACATGGAAAGGAGTAATGAACAATATCAAAACATTATCACTATTATCCTCTATGTGGACATGTTAAAGAGTAAGAACTAAAACTAAAGATGAGCATGGATGTGTACATGGCAATGAATAATTAACAAAGACTAAGCATTATCGTCCATGTCTACAAATGGAGAAGTAATGAACAAGAATTAAGTACTATCTTCTAGGTATATGTGTTAAAGAATAAGGAACTAGAATCAAACATTAATAGTTATGTATACATGGTAAGGTATTATCAATGAAAACTAAGCATCATCTACCAAGAGTACATGTGAAAAAGTAATGAAACAAGATGTAAACATTACCTTCAGCTTGGACATATTAAAGAGTAACAAACCAGAACAAAGTATCAACAATGATGTGTTACGACTGAAAGAGCAATGAACTGTAACTGAACATTAACGTCTATGTTTACATGGTAAGGAATAAGTGATTATTATTAACCATCAACATTTAAGTGCAAATGTGAAAGAGAGATGAAATATGAGTTAACATCATACACTAAGTGGTACATGTTATAGAGTAAGTAACTATGATTAAGCTTTATAGATTAAGTAGTACAAGTTAAGGAGTAACAAACTAGTACTGAATGATATACTGTATGTGGACATGTTAATTGGTAATAAACATTAACCTAAAAATTAAGTCTCATGAGTTACATATTAATGAAGAATACAATATATCTAAACAATAACTTCTACATGTTATCTGGTAAGGCAGGAAGGATGAGGCATAAAACAGTTGGAGTGAATTGAAACTAAGTAAATGCTGGGTGCGGCACTAACAGAGGAGAAGAAAGGAAACAACGAGTAGAAGGCATATGTAAGGCAGGAAAAACAAAAGACATTCAGTAGATAGAGAAGTACTGGGTGGAAAAGTTGCTCCATTTTATGCTCCTCAACTTCAAAACTTGTGAAAGGAAATGTGTGGTGGGGATGGAAGAGACGGTCCAGGCGGCAACATGGACTCCACCACACAGTGGACAATGTTATGTTACTCTTCTTACTGTATTTTCAAACTGAACAGCACCTTTCACAATACATGACAGCTGTCACTATCTCAACAGGCAGGCACTTATTAAATTGGTGGTAACTGTAAAGTGATATTTGTACTCACATTAGCAGAAAAACGAATTAATGTTAATCTTTGAATTCATATTGAAAGGTTGAAGATACAAAGTGAAGTTGTTGAAGTATTTATTACAAGATGTCTCAGCAAAAATATACACATCTAAGTGCAACTGTGCTGAGGAAAAGAATGAGGACTTTTGCATGCAAGTGTAAAAGAAGCATTTGCACAAGGAGGTGTGTTGCACTCCTATTGGTGGAGGGTTATGCTGCATGATATGTCATCACACAGTAGTGCAACTTCACGTGTTTTACATGAATTTTAGGTGGGAATTTCACAAGGTTGGTGGCATGCAAGTATCGAAGGCAGCCAACAAGTGACAGTTGTGGAGAAAAAAAAAGCCACACAACACAGTATTATGCAAAGATGGATAGCAGCTAGTGTTAAAACAAAAGAGCAGCATGGATATAAAATATGGGAAAAAGAGATATCATCAAATGGAATGAACTTACATTTTTCATTTTAAAAGATTCCTCCTGCAACTTCTCAACTGCTAATATATGGTCAATAGGTATATGACACAATGGAGGTTCACCTATAAAAAAAATATTAAGATAAATATACCTAAAATTTACTCAAAAAATCAAAAACAACAATCTCAGAAAATAACACAAAGAATTTGGTTAACCTAACAATTTTTGAAACCAACATAAATACTGATCACTTAAATGATTTAAAATGAGATTAAAAACCAGTTTGACAATTTTTAAAGGAAAGAGATAGTGCATATCAATGACTAGTTCTATCTATAACACTTTAAGTACACAAAATTTCAACCAAAATAACAAATATTAAAAAAAATATATAGAACACAATATGTGTATAAACTGAACCAAGCATTTGTAGATTAAACTACATTAAAGTTATATGCCAGAGTTAAGCAACAGCTGTATTAACTAGAAAAATAAAAGTACTGCAACATACATCTTAGTGAAATATTAAATGTGAAGATGATGCACTATGTTATTGAGAATAATATATTTGCTTTCAAATAAACATAATTTGTAAAACTTATAGGACAAAAGCAAATTATACAATAATTATTGAATTACCTATCACTAATATTATAACTTTAAAGTTCAAATACATTGTTTATGAAATATACGTACATGTTGAAATATAAATGAAATTTGTCCACCAAACATTTAATAACTACTAATAAAGTATTAATTTTACTTCATTACGGATAAAAAAATTCCTGATGTAACCCTTAATCGTAGAAGAATGTTTTGGAATTGAAATAAGTTTCAGGCATGACAAAATATAACACACAATCATCAGTTTATACCATATTTACAATCACAATAGCCAGTTTTTATACTCGTTCCAGAGTCAACACAGCCCATCTATAAACATATAAAGAAAACTACAAAATATCAAGGACTCTGAAAGATTGGATTTCTTTCAAATTTATTTTTGACTTGTTCTTTTTCATGTGTTAGTTTGCACTAAAGACACCCCTACCCCACCCCCGATTGTTTCAAATGTTTTCAGTACAAATGTAATGTAGTAGAAATGTAAATTTAGGTGAATATCTCATTTCTGCCTACATTTCCAAAAATTAATTTCAAGATATGTCATAATAAGATTCAGACCCTGTGGAGTCATCATAGGCAAAGTATTACTAATAATGAAAATTCTAAGCTGGAACTTAAATATAAACCAAATCTTACCTTTAGCTTTGGCATAGAACAGTTCAGTAGTAGTAAGACAGAAATATCTAATTTTGAAATTTTTTATACCAAATTTCTTTCTTCCCTGTGCTCTCTTTTTCATCATCCTAAAAAAAAAAAGATAAAAAAGGAATATTAACACTATTTTCTCACATAAAAACATGGCATTATGTTGGAGTTCACACTACCTATCAGTTATTCACTTTATCGCAACAAAAATATTACTTCTCTTATACAAATGAGCAAAGAAATGTACTCAATTAATAATTTCTCCTTGAAACAGTCATATTTCTCACCAAAGACCAGGGTTAGAGCCATAGGTGCAATTTATATCCAAAGACATATTTAGTATTTCAAAAATCAGAACTAAACAATAAAGTCAAGGGACAGAGAGTTAACCTAACAAGAATGATTTAAAATTTTAAAATAATGCTTTTGCTCAAAATACAACTAAAACTTCTGTTTTTAGTAAGAAGTAGCACATAAATCAAACTGAGTTAACAAACAAATGAGCAGTGCAGCTTTTTTCTGGTCTTTAATACCAAACTTAATTTTAAATTAATGAGTATAAACAATGAAAAACTCAAGCAATTTTGAAGAATTACGTCCCTAAAAGAAGCTCCCAATGCTTTAACAATGACTTTGTTGAATGATCCGTGGTCTTTTCTTACTACCAAATGAAACATTTAGACTATTCATGACTCATTGTTTGTCAAAATGCACACATACACAAATATCAAAATCTCTATTATAATAACATACCAATACCCTCAAATATATTCCTAATAACTAATGCCCTGGTGAGGTAAGTTACATTCCTCTGCAATATATAAAGTTGGACAGTGATAATTCTTCTTAGCATTGAAACATCTGTCCATGAAAAAATTAAACTCTCATGGACATAAAACCAATAAGAATACAATTATTTTGCATTCTACTTACCTCAATGTGGTCACTGGCAGCAAAAAGAAAAAATGATGGAAATTTCATAAAAATGCTTATAAACATTTTGTTTGTTACTAGTCTATATATAGTATTAAAAGTACATTATTTAATATACTCCATCACATTGCACTTTATGTAAATTAGTATTTTACTCTGAAAGTAAAAAAAACAACATAAGCTTCATTTACTGCAACCTTTGCAATCTTATGAAAGTTCTAAATAAATATTTTATTTATAATAAGTTAAAATATATTAAATACTCTCTGACCATTACAAATTTTATAGTTTTATTATGATTATTAGTATTACTTAAGTAAAAATGTTAAATTCATTTAGTGCTATTGGTAAAAAAATATTAGGAAATTTTAGAATGGAATGTTATTTTAGTGAATGATTTTTTAAGACAAATATCTTAGTTTAATACACTTTCTGAGAAATATGCACACAAGCTTTATTCTTTTAGTGTAACTTAAACGTATTACCACATACCCTTCTTTGAGGATAAGCGGTATCTCTCGTTTAAGTGGAGTGGGGGCAACCAGAAGACGATGATATCAACTCCAAAAACTGTTAATAAAGTACAATTAATTTTTTTTTAATTACAAGTGTAAAAAAATCACAAAACATATCAAATCTTAAAATGAATGACAAGGGACAAGGTTAAGAATGATGATTTTAACACAAAATCCTCTTTAGAACCTGCAAAACTTAACTTGTTGCAAAATTAATTTAAACAATGAAATCATACATACCTTAATGGACTGATTCTTGCTTTTAAGTATTTTAAAACAAAGGTCATATATTTATTGTGTTCTTATTAATAACTTTGAATCAAAGTAATTTAACTCTGTATATCAGGAAAAAAAAATGCTAATTTTTATATAATTGACTAAAAGTACATAATGTCATAAATCAACACGTACGCAAAACGGTTAGAATGCACTGATTTATCAGTTGGTAATTTGGCTATTAGCAGTATTTTCAGCCATAAACTCAATAATGTTTCATAGTTCAGTCATCTTTGTTTTTGTTGTTGGTGTTGTTGTATTACATGCAAAGATACTTGATACTAAGTGATAGACTAGAGGGAAGGCAACTGGTCAACATCACCCAGCCCAACTCGTGGGCTGAACAAATACTAGGATTTATCATCACATTATTACACTGCCATGATGGAATGAGCAATCATTTTGGTATAGGATTCAAACCCATGATCCACAGGTTTTAAGTCAAGCACCCTAATCACCAGACTGGTTTATGTCAGCTTAAGAGATTTAGATCAGTCTTAAATTTATAAACTAAACTAGCATTACAAAATATAAGTGTAAAAATTAATAATAACAACTAATATTATTTCCAAACTTTAATACTGTGTGAACTAAATTTGTGTTTTAAGCACTAACAAACCAGAAAGATTCTACACAACACATTATATTACTTTTGTCTGATTTACTTCAATATTTTAACATACAGGTTTCATTTTGGTTTCAACATGACATTGTTCTCACATACAATTTTGTTTGAAAGCCTGATGAAAAATTACTCTTTCATTGTTTGGTTTCTTATTTTCTAAATTTTTTATCTTTTAATATCAATTAAAAACTTGTTTAAGTCTTTAAAGTTTAATTTTAAATTCATAATTTAGTTACATCGTATCTAGCAAAATAGATAGTTTTAGTGTAATGACTTATCAATAACCAATGAACATATGTTGTTTAAGGCTAATAAATTAAGTCTAAGCCTCATGTCACCTTCATAAAGTCTATAGCATTTTAATTTTGAAGGTAAACCAGTCAATGACCATTCCAAAGTATCTGAAAATTTACTATATTAAAAGCTTTAATGTGAAGAACTCCAGTGATAGTCTTTGTTGATCATATCACATTATATAATGACTGAATATTTAGTGACAGTTATGTAAATCTATTTAATGCTGTGGTGTGATTTTCTTAAACAAATATGCATTACAAGTAAATAACACATTATTACTTCGCCTTATATTTGTTTTGATAATTTCTTAAGCATAAACTACAATTTTGTCAACATTTTTTAAGCCATGTCTGGTGTAAACTCATTGAAAATTGAAGGAATACACATCCTGAAAAAATAACTTGGAACAATGTGCTCAACTATTCTCTTTGAGTAGTATTGTTCATCTCTTGTTGTCTCGTAAACAACACACAACTTGTGAAATTTATTAATAACATGTCACTTAAGTATTACAAAATCTTAGGGATAGCAAAGTTTTCCACTGACCAATTGAAAAAACAACAATATACTTTTCTTTCAATATTTTAAACCCATACCATTTCTCTGTTCTTTCTAATTTAAGAAATATATAAAATCATAATATAGGTAAGCATAGTCTTGAAGAATTGTGACAGTTTAAGTATTCTGCTAGTTTCTGTCCAGAGATTTAAGTGATGTACAAAATATTCAAAACTCAGTAATTCAGTGTGCTAGAACAGTTAACTGTCAAGCAGAGATGAGAATTTGAATGGTCTTTGTTTCAGCTATTATACGTTAAAAAAAAAAGTGCTATCAGAATTAAAAATATCAAAGGACTGTATGCCAATCCAATACTTCTATCCAGACCATGTTTGAGTAATTACTGCTTAATGTGTTAACTTTTTAATCAATAAAACAAAACTGAGTTTAATATATAAAAACCAGTTAATAAAAAAACATTTTCAAATATTAAATAATTTCAATGTAATTTTCTAGACTTATAATTTATGACAAAATAATATGAAAACTAACAAAACAATCAAATTTATTTGTAGACAAAATTATTACATTTGCATACCCTTTATTTTTAACATACAAATCTAAGACTAACTTTTTTCCTCTGCCTGGATCTACACTTACTAACAAGTGTTTTAAAAAGTTGGTACTGTAGGATGTAAATTTTTTTAAACCAAAAAGCTTGAACTTTTAAAGATATCATTAGTGTAGTATTGCTGAATATTCATAAACATAAACACCACATCATCATGTTGACAACATTAATTTATTTAACATAAACATTAATATATATAAATGAAACAATAAAAAAATATTTTAATAACTCTTTATTACTGTTAATCTAAAAGAAAGAAATAAAAGCACACATGCATAACAGTCAAAATTTTGGTTTAATACCTTCCAGGATACTCTTCAGTTTCTAAAATAAGGCTATCTCTAATAAGACAAACTTAATAACATAAAACTTACCACCTTTTTTTGACCTTAAAGTTTTATATGTGTTTTAAACTCCTTCTGTGTGTTAAAACTATGTAACATGTAATGTGATTTTAAATTTATTAATTATTTTTGATAAAATAATCTCTCATTCTTTTCACAATACCAAAATGGAAATATTTGGAAAAATATTTATTGTAAAGTATATGTCTCCATAATACACTTATTAATGTGCTTGTTAACAGGTAAAAGGTTATTATTTGCAATTTTACGTGAAATGTATGTATATTTATTCTTAAATGTAAGTTTCCTGTTTATACAACATAGACCTGCTTACAACAGTGGTTCCCAAACTTTAATATCCTATGAACCCCTTTCATAAAAATGACAACTATCATGAACCCCCTCCAAAACACAAATATTTTCCAGGGATTTCCTCCCTTACCTGAGTATAAATTATAAGAACAGTGATCTTGGAAATATAAAATTTGTTTTTCATATGACACTTTTATTATTTATCATTGCATTATTAATCTTATTACATTATGAAAACAGCAACACTATTCGAATATTTTACTTTTGCAACTTAACACTTTGATTAAGCCTAAACATTTTTCTTCTCCATAATTTTACAAACGGCATAAAATATCCCCCTCACCTTCCATTTTTCAAGAGAAGTCTTGAAGTTATAATCTACTCAGTGTGATGTATGCACTTACCTTGATCTGCATAGCTCTTGGAAGTCTGGAACCACTGATGAAATATAAAGACTCAGGACAGGTTCGGCATTGAGTCTGCTTCTGTATTTGGTTTTCAAATGTGCATACGAGAAAAATGCTTTCTCCCATAATTATGATGTTGAAAATCATAACAAAACTGCAGTAGCCATTCCTGTCAGCAGAGGATACTCATTTCTTAAAGTCAGCCAAAAGTTGATTAATGACAGACTTCTGAAACTCCTTTTCAGGTCATAATCACAGGAGATCTTAATCAATTTCTCTTTTTCCTCCATGCTCAATATCTGTGATGAGAAAGTGGTATCATGAAACGGGTTGCAAATCCAATCATTACACCTGATGTAGCTGGAAAGTATTCCTTGAATATTGTGTAAAGTCCTTTTAGATGTGCAGATATGTTGGTTTTAGTGCACTAATTCAACTGAAGTTCTTTTTCTGTCTGGAAGTCATGAAGAGCACTGAAACACTCAGCTTGGTTGTTTTCCAAACACTTTTCCCAGAACTGCAACTTCTTATGTGGTATACTTCCCTTTCATTAATGTGGCCACATTGGTGCAGGTGCCTAGGCAACGAGACCAATCCATTTCAGTTTCTTGAAAACGTGCATCAGTCAGATTGAATATATCTTCTCCAGTTGTACATTCTTTCAACGGATGGCAAAACAACAAGTCTTCTTTAACAATACCTTTATCCACATAATGTACAAATATGAGCAAGATAGATAGATTAGCAATATCAGTTGATTCATTCAACTGTATAGCATAATATGAACTATTTTTCACTCTCTGTACAATTGTGGTCTCTAAATTACTTGACATGTCTTAATTCTCAACAACAATGTATTATTGGACAAATCATGTCAATCTTTTTCGCAGCCTTTTCTCCAAACCTGCACTGACAAATGACTTAGACAAATGAAGCTCTTTGCTATGATATGGGTTTCTGAAGCTTTTGTTACTTGGTACAATGCTTCAAGTGCATTTTCCTTTTCAGTACATGCTTTGGATATAAAACTGGTAAAGTCACTTTTCCTCTTGACTAATGTTCTCTTGAAAAAATCAACAGGCTTGTTGACTTTCGTGGGGTGCCTCATTTCTAAGTGGTGCCAAAGTAGAGAAGGTTTGAGGCTGCAGTTTGCTAGAATATCACCACAAATTACACACCGTGAGTTTGGACACTCTTGATCACTAATGCACGTAAAGCCATATTTTATATGATCGTCATCATATTTTCTTTTCCTAACAAGTGACTTTCCTGGACCATTTTGACCATTTAACTTAGCATTTTTACAATATTTTCGACCTGACGAAACACTAGCTGATTTCAACTGTTCATTTTCTCGTGTCTTTACACTTCCCATTTTCATCCACTTGTCCATAATTGTGTGTAAAAAAGTTCAAGTAAAAATAACAAACTGAGAAAACTAACAAGTGAACATACATGTAAATGAAAATGTTCACTCATGTCTCATTGGAGTAAAACAGCAAACCACTGGGAGTGACCAAGTACTGACTAACTGAATGACTGTACTGCTGCTACATTGACCATGGCTCCAGTCCTTAAAGCACCAAAATAATTGTCTGTTGTGCCAGTTTTGATTTTATTGGGATTGCATTTTCATAATTACATTTAATTAATTATTTATTTATA